GAACTTATTATGGGAAATAAATATTTAAATCAAAACAAGCTGCTGATTATTTCACATTTTACTTGTGAGCAACGGCACATTTAAATCTTACAAATATAGTTATTTGGCTTATATCGTGATATATATCGTTATCGCCTGAAATGGAGAAAAAAAAAAAAAACATATCGTGATATGAAAAAATCTTATATCGCTCAGCTCTAGGACAAAGTGTTACAGACAGATGAATCTTATTTGGAGTTTGAGGTGTTCTGATGAGAAAGAACGTGCTCGGAAATATCTGACATGTTACATGGAGCAGGTGTGAACGCCTCGGGCGCTGCAGTGGAGGGAACGGCAGAAAAGGAATCGTAACCAAGACAGGCCGTCACTCCATTTTCTAACAATGGCATAGACCTCGCAGGCTTTTTCCCCCTACAGCAGGACAAGGACCTAAAGCAGACTGTGTGACAGGAGCAGGCTGATATTCTGTTTATGAGTCAGCCCGCACTGTCATTAGATTTCAGCTGCTGTGAGAACAGACCGACTGTCTGTCTGTGAGACTGACAAAAATGGATTCAAAGCAAAGTTTAAGGAACAAAATTATTTTTTCGATCATTTACTGAACAAAATGTTTTTTTCTGGGTTTAGTGCAAATACATAAATGCTGGTTTAGAGTGACATCAGAGACCATCTGGCCAAGAACTGTTTATCTTTAAAGCTCACAAGAAGAATTGACTTACGCCTTCTTCACTCTGAGGACGTGCACCTAACGGCTGGCTGCGCTCACACTTTACAGACGCAGAGAGCTTTTAGTAAAGTTTAATGCTGATGAATAATAACACTCTTAGTTTTCTATAAATGTGAGGTCTTATGATTATGATTAAAAACAGACTGAATTTAAAATTCTAAAGGACACGTCACCAGTCACCAAAGAGTTTCAAACAAACATGAAACTCTAACGAAGCAAAATTAAATGTTTTTTGTACCTTTCAAAACCTGCAAATACTAAAATAAACATTAGCGTGAGGTTAGAGGCAGAGCAGTACGAAGCCTCAGGCCATGGTTTTCTGCCAGAAAAGGGTGGATTTCTTCTTTCAATTGGAATTAATCCTCTCTTAAGAGCAGCTTTCCATCCCAAAATTCTGCCTTTGTGTAAACGAGAATAAAAACAACACAATCTGACTCACCAATGCATTCCAGTTTCCTCTGCGGACATCGGTCATGAATGAGAAGTTTGAGCTCCTGGATAGCAGATCCGTAGGGGTAGGAACCTTGTGGGGAACCGGTATTTTGGGGAAACAGTTTCAAGGGAATGCCGATATCTCCAGGTGAAGCGTCGGCGTACAGCTTCACGCTGGTCTCGTAGGCCTCCTCCCTTTCTACATACGCCTTCCTGAAATGAAAGACAAATGGCTCCAGAACGAAATCCAACAAACGGACAAATAACTAAATGATGGAAACGGAGCAAAGAATGATAGAAGTCTGGAAAACGTCACATGAAAACCTGGTAGTGGTTGTGTAGAGGGTACATTTTGGATATTTAAACTCCAGGTTATTCCTACTCGATGGCAGCTAAGTTGGATAACTGTCACAGACTGAGCTCCTGCTGTCTAATTGGTTAAAAACAAACCCTAAAGTGGAATAAAACCCCAGAATCAAGAAGCTTTTCTTATTTCTTGACGTGGTTGTTAATATTTAGGACATGAGCACAACACATGGCTCTTCCACAGGATCATTGTCTGACACCCTCATACCTGCTTAACATAAAACTCAACAAAAATAGTTCCACTTTAGCTTCTAGCTAAAATTAGGGCACATCACCACGA